AGGTGGAGGATTAGTCTGATACGCTGCCATGTCTGTTCCTCATTGCCTTTATTTCATATCTGTCATTTTTTTTCTGTTTTGCGTGGATCTAATTTGATGTTGTCACCAGCCATCAGTAAATGGACAGGTTGTTCACATGAGACTGTGTAGAGACCAGGACAGCCGACCAGGGTAGCTGGATTTCCCCACCATTGTTTGGGAAGACGCTACTTCATTCAGCCACTGCTCCCCCACACGAGTCCTTGGGTAGCTCATGTATTGTTAATACAAACACTCTGCCCTCTCTTCCCAACCAGGTGAGGTGCACTCCTCCCCGTACTCGATCTGGGATGCTCACAATCACTTGCCTAGCAAATAATCTGTTGAATGTGACACCCTGGGGCTCCCCGACAGGATCCTAAGATCCCCTGCTTCTCATCCAGCTCCCTGCTTGTGGCCTGGGAAAATAGTCAAGGACAGCCCAATGTGTTGGGACTCTGCACCTGCATGGGAGACCCAGAAAAGTCTCCTGGCTTCAAATTGGCACACCTCTGGCCGTTGCAGCTGCTTGGGGAGTGAATGAGAGAATGGAAGATCTTTCTCTCTCTCTCTCTCCACTCTGTATATCTGAATTTCCAATAAAAATAAATAAATCCCTTGCAGCTTGGGCCCAAGCTACCACATAAGAAGTCTGACTAAGCTGAGACTGCTGGCTCTGAGAAAATGCATGCTGGCCATGTGCAGAAGCACACAGAGCGATGCTTGACAAAGTCAGGTCTCAGACATACACACACAGAAAAACCTTGGGATGACTTAGCCACAGTGTGGCAGCAGTCATGTGAGGCTCCTCCAGCGAGGACCATGAGCAGAAGCCAGCCCGTCCCAGAAATGAACAATACAGGATGCTTTAAGTCACCAGGCTTGGGGAAGGTTGGTTGGGCAGCCGTGGGTAACTGAATACCTGCTGAAGCTGTCTCTATAGCTGGCCAGTAACTGAGGTGTAAGGTGGCTTCCGAGAAGTCTGGCTCACCACAAGGACCAATCACAACCGTTCTCAGGTCATATCCCTTAACACCAGGAGATGTTCGTGTTCCTGAACTCTCTGCCCTCTGAGCTGCCCGGCTCACTCAACTCCCCATCCTCTCACTTGCTCCTTCGTGACTGCTGCCTGCTAGTGAGCACTTGTGGAGCCTTCTTACATCTTCTGCAAATCACATTTCCCCTGGCTTCAGAACTATTATGTATGAGGTTTTCCCCCTTTGTCTTTCCAATTGCGTTGAGTGAAAAGAAAAATAGAGAAGATGAATTGCAGAAAATCTGTTCTGCTTAAATTTTTTTTAATTACTAAAATAAAAAGGAAAAATAAGAAAAAATAAGAGAAGTGCTGGCTTCTATCATCACTTTCGGACCACAGGTCATTACCATATTTTTTTAAAGATTTATTTTTATTATTTTTTTTATTGGAAAGGCAGATATACAGAGAGGAGAGACAGAGAGGAAGATCCTCTGTCCGATGATTCACTCCCCAAGTGAGCGCAACGGCCGACGCTATGCCGATCCGAAGCCAGGAGCCTCTTCCGGGTCTCCCACGCGGGTGCAGGGTCCCAAATCCTTGGGCCGTCCTCGACTGCTTTCCCAGGCCACAGGCAGGGAACTGGAAGGGAAGCGGGGCTGCCGGGATTAGAACCAGCGCCCATATGGGATCCCAGGCGTGCAAGGCGAGGACCTTAACCACTGCGCCACCGCACTGGGCCCAATTACCATATTTTTACTTGCAACAATCTTCTACTAACAGCCACTGAGATCGCACTCAATTCAGAGCCACACTGCAGTAAAAATACCTTCACATATCTGTTTTTTGTGTTCAAGCAATATCTCTATGCCATCATTTTCTGCGAGTAAAATTTTGGGGCCATGGGCAATGGCTGACTAATGTTTTTGTTTTGTTTTGTTTTGCTTTGCTTTGCTTTGCTTTGCTTTGCTTTGCTTTGCTTTGCTTTGCTTTGCTTTGCTTTGCTTTGTTTTGTTTATATGGCACTCAGAGCCTATCAAGAGACAGCTCCGTTTAGCCAGAGCAGATGCTCAAACGCTCTGGAAGCAAATCTACGCAGCCACCAACTACCACCACCAAATCGTTCTCATGTGACTTTTGTCTGTTGAATCGAGCCTGTGAAAGAACCAGGCAAGGCCAGTTTGGGACAAACACACAGTCACAAGAATTTTACTAGGTCTCAGATAGCAGAGAAACGAAGTCATAGGGTGAGGCAAAGTACACAGAGAGGGCAACACAGCACCCCATGGCAGTGAGGGGCAGGAAGCCAGGTTGGCACCCCAGGCATGCACTAGCTGTACACAGCAGGTGGCTAAATAACTGGATCCCAGTTTGGCTACTTTCTAGAAGCGTAAAAAGCATCCATCTCCTTTTCTGAGGACTAAGAAATGTAGTCTTTATTCTTATTTACTAATCAAAGGTAGCATCACTCTGATTCATCTGAAACAGATCTTTGCACTCCCATTGGATGATAGAAAGTCTTTTGGAATATGCATCAAGGTTTGTTCATCCAGGATCCAAGACACAGATTGTTTCCAAAAATTTGTTGTTAAATACTTCAGGGTCCCTGCGTGGCAGTCTAGTGGATAAAGTCCTCGCCTTACACGTGCCAGGATCCCAGATGGGCACCAGTTTGTGTCCCAGCTGCTCCACTTCCCATCCAACTCCCTCCATGTGGCCTGGGAAAGCAGGGGAGGATGGACCAAAGCCTTGGACTCTGCACCTGCATGGGAGACCCAGAAGAAGCTCCTGGCTTTGGATTGGCACAGCTCCAGCCATTGTAGCCGCTTGGAGAGTGAACCATCAGATGGAAGATCTTTTTCTCTGTCTCTCCTCTCTGTATATCTGCCTTTCCAATAAAAATAAAGCCAAGAGCCAGGAGCTCTTCCGGGTCTCCCACGCGGATGCAGGGTCCCAAGGCTTTGGGCCATCCTTGACTACTTTCCCAGGCCACAAGGAGGGAGCTGGATGGGAAGCGGGGCCGCCGGGATTAGAACCGGCACCCATATGGGATCCCAGGCGTGCAAGGTGAGGACCTTAACCACTACGCTATTGCGCCAGGCCCCAATAAAAAATAAATCTTAAGAAGAAAACAAGAGAGAGAGAGAGAATCCTTCAGGGGCCAGCATGTGAAAGATCAGCTTAAGGCACCACTTGCAATGCAGCAGGCCTGGTCAGAGCACTGATTCTAGTCTTGACTGCTCTACTTCCAATCTGGCTCCTTGCTAATGAATGATTTCTCTGTCTCTAGTGACTCTGGAAGAAGCAGGGCTCCTCTGACTAGCTGCAAGGAGAAGGCAGCTTCCTTCAGCCTTCCCCGGAGCTCCTGGGGAATGCTCAATCCAGCACCCCATCCCCTCACCAACATCTAGTGCCCAGCACTCTTGCTTCCCTCAAACAGCAAGAAATCATCACTACCAGAGACTTTGAGAGGGACAGAGCCAGGTGCACATGCTCTGTACTGCACAATCCCAAGCTGCAGGCTGACTTTCATCACTGCAGGATTGCAGATATCCCCAAAGCCACTGATGGAGAGATCTCATTCTCAGGTACACCAAGCCAAAATTCTGCCCCACCTCCAGCCCATTGTGGTTCACACCCTGCTCCCTGTTCTTTTCTGGGCAGCTCCCAGCATAACATCTAATCACTTTCTGCAAATGGGAAACTACAGGGAACCTTTGCCCCATCCCTCTCCTCTCCCAAGGCCTTGTGAGTTCCAAGCCAGCCAAGAGGCCCCTGGGTCTGTGGAGAACTCCAGTCCCTTGCCCTGCCCCTGCAGCTGGGGTGGAAGGAACAAAACCCAGGGCAGTCTGGCCTGCCTCTTCTTGCTGCTGCTACTGCACACCCAGGACCCGAGATCTACAGACCCAATGTGAAAGTGGAGTCAGGAGCTTAGCAAGACAGGGCTATGCATTCTTGCTTTCTGCTCCAGCACATGTCCCCAGAAATGTGGCTCCCCTGGGCATACATTTACATTCCCATCCAGGTCCCCTTTGAGCTGCCCTCTGAGACTCCAAACTCATAAGAGCCCATTTGCCATCCCAACAGGTGTGGGGATAAGACCAGGGCTTCCCCAGCATGAAGGACACTGGCATCCCCTCATGTCCCCAGAGGAGACCCTAGACACATCCTCCCTGCAGGTCACCTGCCACTACCCTGGCCCGCAGCTCCACAGACTAGCCATCTACATGCAAGAAACAATGATAACACTCTGATTCTGTCAGTCCCCAGGGGCTTGGAGGACAAATGGCAAATCATGGAGGATCCCATATTGGACAGAGTGCCAGTTCCAGTCCTGGCTGCTCTGCTTCTGACTCAGCTCCCTGTTAATTCACCTGGGAAAGCAGTAAAAGATGGTCCCGGTGCTTAGGCCTCTGCCACCCATGCAGGAGAACCAGATGGAGTCTTCAGCTTGGTCCATCAGCATCTTGTTATAGACATTTGGAGATTAAATCAACAAATGGAAGATCTGGCTGGGGGGGGTGGTGTATATCACTCCAGTTTTCAAATAAACAAATGCTTCAAATAAATGGTAGCCCATGGGACAGGAGCAGGATACTGTCTCCCAAGGGAGAAACTAAGGCATGAGAAGCTGAACCAGGAGTAGGAGCTGGAAGGAAGGGGCAGGGCTGGACACCACCTGGCGCAAGTCCTGCCTGGGTTCCCAGGCCCAGGTCACCTGCACAGCAGGTTCTACGGAGGACTAAAGGGAGAGATAAGCCCTCTACCCCTGGAGAAGGGCCAGATATGTGGCATCCAGGAGGGAGTCAGAGGTCAGGTAGTCAGGGTGAGGCAAGGAAGGCCGGGCAGATAAGCCTCTGAGCTCTCTCTCTCCTCTGAGGCCACCACCAGAGAGACAGCTCCATTCATTGCATAATCCTCCTATTTGTCCAGAGCTACATTTTGTCCAGAAACCTCTCTGTCCCGAGAGGCCATTCAAGAAGGCCTCCAGCAAGGACAGGCCGAGGAAGGGAGCTGACAGAAGAATCACGGCAGTTTTGCGGTGCCCCTTGGAAGCATGGAGGCCTACAACCAGTCTGCAGCCCTCAACTTCAGCCTGCCACTCAACTTCGGCAAGCGCCCCACCGACCTGGCCCTTAGCATCATCTTGGTAGTCACGCTGCTCCTCGTCATGCTCTCGTTGGGCTGCACCATGGAGTTCAGCAAGATCAAGGCTCACTTTCTGAAGCCCAAGGGGCTGGCTATCGCCCTAGTGGCCCAGTATGGCATCATGCCCCTCACCGCCTTTGTGCTGGGCAAGGCTTTCCAAATGAGAAAAATTGAAGCACTGGCCATCCTGATCTGCGGCTGTTCACCCGGAGGGAACATGTCTAATCTCTTCAGTTTGGCCTTGAAGGGGGACATGAATCTCAGGTAGGACTGGGGATTAAAAGGGTACATGTTGTAGCAGGGTGTCCCATTCGAGGGGAGGAGCTGGGCTAACACCAGGAGAGAATGCGCTGGGGCGCAGGTGGCAAGGGGGATGAGGGGTTGGGTAGACACAAAGGGAGGTAGCAGCTGAAGTTCATTGGCAAGCGTTTATGCTGAGCAAGGGCTGGAAAGCTATCTCTGCTTAACAAACAACCCAAAGGTGCACCCAGAGGCATCCTGCCCAAATCTGAGAGGCATCTCAACAGGGGGACACAGGGTTGCCTTAAGGGAGCATTGAGTGTACTCTCCTATGATTTGAGGGTGAGGGGAGCAGGCACAAGTTGTGAGCTTTGAGGCCAGACAGGAATTCAGTCAGTTCCAAACATCATCAGGAAGATCAGTGTGTCAAGAACCCTCTGTGCACTTCAAATTCCTGCAGCACAGGCAAGACGTTGCCACAGTGACTCCAGGGAGCTAAGCCATCTAGAATATCTTGTCTCTAACAGCCTTGCCTTGTACTTGCCCTGTACTCATGCAAAGGTACAGCCAGGTAAACCCTAGAGTGTCCAAGCACCTGTGCAGGTTACCCTGGGCCTCAGCTCAAACAGGTAGGAAGAAGGCAAGCAGCAAGCATAATGAGCAGGGATGGATTGCTCCCAGGAGCCCGAATTCTTCCAAGCAGGTGGGGCTCAGGCTATGAATGAATCCCAAGGGACAGTTCAGAGCTGCTCCAACCATCTGTGTGCAGGCTGAAGCAAGCTCACCAGCAAAAGCTCTTGCTTTATTGAAGTTTGCCTCTCCAGCCAGTTTCCTCTGGGTCAATCATCAGTGGAGATGTCATTCTAATCCTGGGATGATGGTGGGATTCAGAGGATTTCTCTATCTCTGTCCCTAGCTAAACTCCACTAAGAATACTAACCATGTGTGAAGGCCTTTGCAATACAAAGTGATGCTGGCTTAGGCTTTTGTTTTGCTTAATTTATTTGAAAGGTAAGACTACATATAGAAAAGGAGAGACAGAGAGAGACCCTTCAATTCGCTGGTTTACTCCCCAGATGGCTGCAACAGCCAGGGCTGGGCCAGGCCAAAGTTAAGACATCCAAGTCTCCCACATGTGTAACAGAAGCCTAAGCACTTGGGCCATCTTCTGCCGCTTCTCCCAAACCATTAGCAGGGACCTAGAAGTGGAGCAACCAGGACACAGACCAGTGCCCCTATAGGATGCTGATATCACAGGTTGAGGCTTTACCCACTACACTACAGCACCAGCCCCAATAATAGCACAGGCTTTTAAATGAGAAACTCAAGAAAGAGCAGAAGCTTGCTGGGATCTGTCATGCCCTCAGTCCATGTGACTCCTGTCCCTGAGGCCACTGATGGACAAAAAGGTGGGAAGAGGGTGCTTGGCTTATGCCGTCTGCCATGGGAACATAAGTTCTTCCCATGCCTCAGCTAACCTCTTGCTGCAAAATGAGGCCTGTGGGCAAGGCTTGTCACAGATCCCTCCATCCCAAGAAACGCAGACTATCTTAACTGTGGTATAGGAGGCAGCAGGGGAAAGGGTATGCAAAGGGCTTTGTGTAGCTGCAAAGGCAGCAAAGCAGAGGGAATCAGCAGGGACAAGGGGGAGTTTTTTGAGGATGGGTAACCAGGTGTCCCAGTGGGCTCTAATGAGGCCTCTCCGGCAATGTCTCCATCTGCGTGGTCCAAGGTCCCCATGAACCTGAGCCTCTTCAAGTTCAAAAACATGGCATTCGTACCCTTCTGCTCAAGAAACCTCTTGTCCAGGTACCTAAGGACTATCCCTCTCCTGGCACCTGAGACCCCAAGAGCAAGGTGGGAACCTCATCCTCTATCATCCTTTGCTGCTGAACCTAAATCCCAAAGGGAGCTCAGTGAGGAGTACTTGTTACCTGGATTATAATCATGAGTTTGGCCTTGATCATGAGCAGCAGCCAGCAATTGCCCTCAACACCCAGATCAAGGTGTGTTGGAAGAAGCTCTTTCACAAGATGAGGAAACCAGCTCTGAGACGCTCTGCTGAATGTGTGAGTGGCTCCCTAGTTGTGCTCTTGGATGTCTTCAGGCCAGCATGTCCAATAGAGTGATCGGAGACTAGAGGCAGAGGCCCCACACCTGAGCAGAAGGCATTCCTGGGGAAGCTGGGCCCATGGCTATCCCAGCTTCCTGCTTTTCCAAATGCAGAAATTTCATTTGCATCTAAAATTTCTTGAATTTCTACACTTTGGCAACTTATTCATATTTTTGCTTGAAAAGATGGTGAGAACCAAACTCCACTTCTCAAAATGCCAGATGGAGTTCAGAGGTCCTTCTGTGTGTAGTTTCTTAATGCATAACACTCTCCAGCATCCCTTTTAAAGTTAGGAGGAAGTCTGGAGACACCGATTCAATTTTATGTATTTTTTAAGAGATTTCTTTTTAATGGAAAGGCAGACTTAACAGAGGGGAAAGGCAGAAAGACCTGTCATTAATCCAAAGCCAGGAGTCAGGAGTTTGTTCCAGGTCTCCCACGTAGGTGTAGGGTCCCAAGGACTTGGGCCTTGCTCTGAGTGGAGCAGTCAGAACACAAACTGGTACCCATACGGGATCCTGGCACCTGAAGGTGGAGTAACTGCCAGCTGAAATATTGCGCAGCCCCCAATTTCCTTTTATACTTTAAGTCTGGGGAAGTTATGTCCAGAGGCAACCCTGGGCTCCCTCTGTCCATTCATTTGTTTCCCAGCTGTAGTGAGGCTGGGACAGCCAAGCCACCAGAGTACGCATAGCAGTTCCTTCACTAGACAAGTTCCAAAAACTGCATGAGTCTTGCCCATCAAGTCACGGTGGCCCATCAAGCCACAGTGAGCATGGCTTGTTGAGGACATGCTAACAGGCACTTGGTCTCCTGTGATGACTTCCCAAGTACCCTAGATTCACATCCCCCAACACCCTACCAAACCACAGCAAAGTCAGAGCCAACAGTTACAGGGACAACAGCCACCAAAGGAGTCCCACCAGTCTCTCCATCATGATGCAGGAAGCCAAACCAGGAGATGGAGCCACTGGGACTCTCCAAAGTTGCCCACTTCTCCAGGCACCCTGAGGACTTCCCCATAGTCCTCTCAACTTCTGCTTCCAAGGCCTCCATGGACAGAGACTCAAAACCAGACTCTCAAAAAAGGTGTCCAGATGTCCAAAAGCCCAGTCTGAGCAATGCTCAGAGAACTCAAGGAGGAAGAAAAAATTAACTCAAAGTGCCACTTGCTCCAAAAGGTATCAGGCCCATGGGTAACCATGCTTCCAAATGCCAGGTATCTCCCACCCCTGTCCCTCAGTGTCAATTATGGAGTGCAATGGCTGCAGACACTGGCAGGTTAGCAGTGGTGCTCCTTAACCAGCTCGCAGCATTTGGGTGTTTTGCGACATAGAGTCCCAGAGCAAACTCCAAAAGCCAAAGTAAGCATGACATGACTGCTCTAGCACACCAAAGCAAATACACAGGCTGGTTCTCCTGTGAGGAGATCGATAGCTAGCACTATAGCCCTGTGTCCCAATTTCATTCCCCTCTACATCCCAAAAGGAGGACCCTTGGAATTTCACGTTGGTCATTTCCCACATGTCCAGAAACAAGATACCATGTTTGCCTGTTTAAATTTTGACAACGTGAGATAAGAATGGGACTAACATATGGCATGCATCTGAAGTGCTGTAGTTTGGTTCATGATCCCCCAGGGTCACATGTGAAAGCATATATGGTTAAAACAAGAGGCTGGTACCTTCACTAGGTACCACTACTTGCACGCTAGGTTAAGTCACTACTTCCAATGCAAGCATCCCATATCAGAATCCCAACCATCCAGTGCCTAAACCAGCTGAAGATGGCCTATGTTGCATGGACCTCTGCTAGCCATGTGGGAGGCCAGGATGGGGTTCTGGACACTTAGCCTTGCCCTGCCTGGCCCAGTTCAGGAGGCTGCAACCATTTGGAGAATGAACAATAATTTAAAAATTTTATTTCATGGCCAGTCTAGAAACTCTGCTATATTTACTAGCCATCTGAGCATCCATTCTTGGAACAGCTTCATTTTCTGCTTATTTGTCTATGGGATTGTTGCGCTGGATTATTATTTGCAAAGTTGTTTACCTATGTTGCAACAGTCTATTTAGGGTTTGCGGCTTACCTTGACACCTTGATAAGAATGTCACAGTTAGTCAAATCAGCCAGTGTTTCTGCAGCGTGGATTATGTTTTAAGAAATCCTTTACCATTGACAAAGTGACAGTTATTCCCCTATATTTTCTTCTAAACATTTTAAATGTTTAGTTTTCATGTAGAGAGCTTCAACCTAGTTTATTTTTATGTATGTTGTGATCTATTTCCTATGTAATAATGCCCAGCTGAAATTTTGCCTAATTTGCAGAACCATTTCACTTAAAAATCAAGTAAACACGAGTCTGTCACTGTGCGCTTTCTTCCACTAGTCTTTGTATCTATCCTCACTCCAGCATCAAGTTTTCTTAATGATAAAGACTTTCTAATGAAATTTGGTATCTGAAAGGTAGATCCTCCTCCTGTGTTCTTGGAAATTGTTAGGCCAGCTTTCAAGTACACCACCCCCTCAAAAAGAACCCTTCAACATGAACACCTATCTATAGATTTGGAGATGATTCCCATTCATAAATACAATATATTTTTCCTTAGGTGTTCTACTTTTTTATTAAGTTCTCCATAATTGTTAGATATGTTTTCTAATATCTTGCAACTTTTCTAAGTTGTATATTCAAAAACAAATTTACGTGGCTAACCATTTGTTCCAAGAATGTCAAGTCCCAATTTTTAAAAATATTTTTAGAATCTCATAGGTTCTCTTTCTAGTTATAATGAAAAAGTCACCAGGACCAAGTGTGTGCTCCACCCTATCATTGGTGAAAAAAACAAAAAACAAGAAGTTCAGCTTCCTGTCTTCCCATCCCTATTCTTTTTCTATGTTCTATTTTGCTGTTCCGCTGAAGGTCCATGTATTTTTTTTTTAAAGATTTATTTTTATTATTTTTTCATTGGAAAGGCGGATATACAGAGAGGGGAGACAGAGAGGAAGATCTTCCATCCGATGATTCACTCCCCAAGTGAGCGCAACGGGCCGATACTATGCCGATCCGAAGCCAGGAGCCTCTTCCGGGTCTCCCACGCGGGTGCAGGTTCCCAAAGCTTTGGGCCGTCCTCGACTGCTTTCCCAGGCCACAGGCAGGGAGCTGGAAGGGAAGCGGGGCTGCCGGGATTAGAACCGGCGCCCATATGGGATCCCGGGCGTGCAAGGCGAGGACTTAACCACTTGCGCCACTGCGCCGGGCCCAAGGTCCATGTATTGTAAAGGTCATTAAACAGACCCCAAGTCACCGTTGAAATTTAAAGTTTGCTGCCACATTTTTATACGTATCCTTTTCAGATTTCATAATTTCCGATCTGCCTCTGGCATGCCTGCTCTTCCCCACATCTGAACACACTGCAGCTTGGTGACTTCTTTCCACACTAATGTGAATTCTTCCTTTGATGTAACCATTGCTGCCTCCTTCCTCGTTCCAGCATCACAGCTCTTCACGGATTCCCTAAGTGCTACTGTCCTTCCTTTCTTCATGCTGCTGTTTCTGTTTAGGGTCCTTCTAACCTTGGCTGATTCCCCTTTGCATTTTTCTCATTTTTCTCTGCCAGGCAACTCATCCATTCCCAAAGACCAGTGTCACTGCCTCACACCAAATGCCTTGGCACATGAAATGCGCTTCACGTAGCAAATCCTTGTATCTCAGTTAGACAAAGCTGCTACATCCAGTTATTCCATAGGCTCTAAACAAGATAGTCGGGGTACTGGGAATCTCAGCTTTCTCCAAAACAAGCTGTGACTACAGCATGGCTCAAGCAAAAATAACTCTGAATGGCTCTTCCCACAAGAAGGCACACATGAACTAAAGCAGTTGCAGAGTTCTGGGTTCAAATCTGCCTCAATCAACTACTATTAGTGTGATCTGGGCCAATGAACAACAATTCTAGTGTTCAGCTTCATAGCCAGGGGGGAAAAAAAAAGCAAATAAGCATCACAACAAATACCTAAACCTACGGGGGGGAAAATGCAAACAAAGCAATGAATATAGAGTACCTAGCATCTAACAAGCACCTAACAGTCTGTAGTAACTCGCGCTCTCTCTCTCCCTTCTCCCATGTCCCCTTTCCCCAGCATTGTGATGACCACCTGTTCCACCTTCCTCGCTCTGGGGATGATGCCACTCCTCTTGTATATCTACAGCAGGGGCATCTACGAGGGGGACTTCAAGGACAAGGTGCCCTATCGTGGCATTATGATATCCCTGGTCATGGTTCTCATTCCGTGCACCATAGGGATCATCCTCAAGTCCAAACGACCACAATATGTACCCTATGTCATCAAGGTAAGAACCTGAGTCCGTCTTAGTGAGCAAACAGGGCAGGGAGCAAGGACATTATCCCTGTGGGGTTGGGTTACAGGTGCTTCCTCTGTGTCTATCTCTTTGTTTGCAGGTCTTAAAAAAGAAAGTTTAAAAAAGTTTAAAAAAGTTAAAAAAGAAAGTATCGGTTCATCTGTTACTTTATGGAGTTACAATGTACACATGAAACACTTTAAAAAACACCATATAAAGTTTAGCTAAAGCACTATTTTCAGAATAAAACCAGCTTATTACGCTGTTAAATTTCATGTCATAATATTGATAGCGTGCACCTTCCTTGAGTTTGATATCTGCACAAACAGCCCATGAAAGAATGAGATCCAACAACTGTACAAGCACAGCGTGGCAGAATGCAAGATTAGCAAGGACAAGGGGAGACAAGGCAGTAGATGATGGCCCAATTGGTTCGGACCCTGACACCCACACTGGTGACCTAAATGGAGTTCCAGGGGTTCTAATTCCGGCCTGGCCCAGCTCTGGCTGTTGTAGCAATTTGGAGAATAAACCAGTGATGGAAAATTGTATTATCTTCCTTTCAAATAAATCAAAGCATTAAAAAAAGTAAGATATGACATTTCCAGTATTACTTTACTCACGAGCACAGGTAGCCTTAACAAGCATACAAGTTTATCAGTTTGGAACATGTCATTCTCCAAAACACACTTCACTACACACTAGTCACTAATATTTTTATTCATTTGAAAGGCAGGGATTCAACAGCAGAGAATACAGATCTCTCATCCCTTGGTTCATTCCCCAAATGCCCACGGGAGTTAGGGCTGGGTCCGGTCAAAGCCACAAGCCAGGAATTTAAGCCACATCTCAAGTGACCTGAGCCATCACCTGCTGCCTCCCAGGGTGCCCATCAGCGGGCAGATGGAACCAGTAGCAGAACCAGGATCCAAGCCAGTCCCTTTGTGGATGACTGGTGTCCCCACATGACATCTCAACTGTTGTGCCAAATGCCTGTCCAGACCTTATGATGCTGTTATCATCACTGTTATTCTCAAACTCCCCTAGGGAACTTCTTTCCTATCCAATTACCAGGGCTTTCAAGGCTTGCCCATCATTTTGGATCTAAAATTACATTATCTGGTTGGATCATTCACTGTTTACCAGCCTCATTTCAAACGAGTCAGAATTTCCAGAAGTCAAACCATTCTAAAATAAAGGCTCTTCTAGATGTGAAAAGTTTCAATGAATTTGAAAGCAGTGCAGGAATGCATCTACATCTTCCAAGTCGTGTGCGTCCCCTTCCACTTCACGTCCCAGTGGTGTGGGAATCTGCTTCCTGTGTCCCACCCCCACCCTCCTGATGACCTTGTCTCATCTTGTCCAGGTGGGGATGTTCCTCACTCTCTCATTCAGCATTGCCATCGCCGTCCTTTCTGCCATCAACGTGGGCAGCAGCATCATGTATGTCATGACCCCGTACTTTCTGACCATCTCGGCCCTCATGCCTTTCATCGGCTTCCTGCTGGGCTATTTCCTCTCTGCTCTCTTCCGCCTCAATGGACAGTAAGTATTTCTTTAGGTCCCATCATCCCATAGCCTCATCCTAGTAATAGACGCTCAGAAACAGGATGGGGTGTGCAGAACCTGAAATCTGGGCAAAGCAGGTTCTTAGCAATGTCTCCACAAGCAATGAACTTTTGACTCACAAACACTGAGAAGGGAAGGCACCAAATGCATTACAATCCTGTGAAATCCAGACAACAAAGGCCTCAGACCAGCCACACAGCTAGGTAATGGCTAAACAACCCCTGCAAAGGCTAGATTCTACCTATTGGCCAAACCCTTGGCGGGATGGCACTGGACTAACAGTGACAGGTGCTGGTAATACTCCTCGTTTCTCATTTGTTTCCTTTTCTGCCTCGGCTTTAGTCCCAAGGACAGAATGGGGTGGGAGCTCTAGGTGACACTGAGCTAAGCTGTGGGTCTATACCACAGACTAACCTAATTCATAAACACGATTTCCACTTTACAACAGTTGGAGGGCACAGTGTAGGAACAACAGGCATTACACCTTAACAGGCAGATGAATGACTTTCCTCTTACAGCCACAGTAAGTAAAAATTTACACCAGAGACTAACTAGCAGCATGCCTCCCCACAAAAAAAAAAAAAAAAACCCTAAGTTATCTTCAAGATAAATTTAAATATCCATTCTTAAAGCCATTCTCTGATAATTACCATACATAAATAATAGACTTCAAAGGCCGCCAAATACCAAGGCACGACAGTACACACCACAATAAACCCCATCAGTACCAAGTATGATCACAATAATCTCCCATCCAACATGCTATGTCTGCTTCTATATTTGAAAGATAATTATACTCGCTACCTTAGGGATTTTGCGTGTATTATGTACAACCAACCCACTCTTCAATGGAAAAACCAGGACAATGTGTTGCTTGTAAAGAGCACGAGGCCCATTTCAGAGCTAGACATCTAAGCCAAAAATCTTGGAACAAGATAAGGCCGTGAACCCCTCAAACCATCTTCTCTTTTATGTTGAACTCATGATTGTCCTATCCAAAATGAGCCAAGGATGCCAACATCCTTTGATTCCTCAGAAACTATTCATTTCTACAAACTTCTATACGGCAACTCTACACAGCTCAGAAAAAAATCTGGCAAAAATTCCCTCATCTGAGATTCAGGGATTCCCACCCTACATAGTCAAGCGAATGTTAAAACAGACAAGCTCAACTTTTCTTGAACTCTCGTCTACTCCACTCCTAACTTTCTTGGGATGGACTGTTCAGTTGGAGCCTGGAGTAGCTGTGAGGAAGAGGATACACCAGCAAAGATGCTTCCTTATGTCTCTTCCAAGTTCCCATGCAAATGCATTTCTTTTCACTTACACAGGTGCAGACGTACCATCAGCATGGAGACAGGATTCCAAAACCTGCAGCTTTGTTCCACCATCCTCAATGTGACCTTTCCCCCTGAAGTTATCGGACCACTTTTCTTCTTTCCTCTCCTCTACATGATTTTCCAATTTGCAGAAGGCATTATCATCATTGCTGTTTTTCGGTGCTATTTAAGATTCAAGCCTCCCAAAGGTAAGTATCCATCCCTTTCCAAATTCATATTTACTAGCCAAGAGCCAGCTTCTAGAAGGGACTTTTTAGATAAGGCTTTTCATTCCGAAGTCACTAGTGATAAGACAATACACAAGAGATTCTAAACAGCACCAGCTCCATTAGGTACACCCCATTCCTGCCTTCTAGCCAACCTTCCAACTAGTGGATGGGGTCTGCCTCATAAGACCTCAGATGATCTGGGCTGCTCTGTGCAAGGGGAGGAAGCAGAACAGAACCACCTTAGGTACTAGTGACATTAGTTGGATTAAGCCACCAGCTGCAAAGCTGGCTTCCATATAGATATTAGAGTCCCAGGTGCTCCATTTCAGATCCAGCTTCCTGCTAATTCACCTGGGAAAACAGCAGAAGAAGGCTGAAATGCTTGGGCCCCCGCACTCTCATGGGACACTAGGAACAATCTCCCAGCTCTTAGCTTCAACCTGGCACAGCTCTGTGACTACAGTCATCTCAGGAGTCAACAAATAGTTCTTCCCCATGTCTCTTTCTGTAACTCTGCCTTTCAAACAATTAAGTAAATCTTTTAAAATAGATTATCAAACCTCCACTAAATCCAGAATTCTACCCTCGAAGTACCCTTTAATCCCAATCCTAATCACTAATTCTTAAACCAGGAAACTCAACTCTACAATGCTTTGCCATAATTTTGAACTCTGAACAGTTACCTTCCTGTCTTTCAACTGCCCCTTCTCAAGAACTTGAGGGCCTCCTCAAGACCTTTTCCAGATACTACATGTTTACCCAGGGCAAAATATATAACTTTTGCTTGTACAATGTACTACTCTGTCTTTCCTACTTCATAGTAATTAAAATATAATCTTAGCCAGAAGACAAAAAGAAATCCATTTTACAAGCTTTGATTCAAAACTACAACATTGTGGCAAACAATCTAAACCCACTACTTCCCAAAATCCTCAAGATGCAATGTCCGATAAAGTTCTCATTCAGGTAAGGAAAGGGAGGAATTACACAGGTTGAGTTCCTTAGTTCTCAATGAGGCCAGCAATGTCCTCAAGGGGCAATACTCCACAGATCTTTAGCTGTCACACCTAAAAAGAAAAATCTCCTTAAATAGACTTCAGGAGTCCCTAGGAGCAAAACTAAGCCAAAACAACTTGTCTTTACAGCTTAGGATCTCAGCTCGCTCATCATCACAAAACCACTGGTCCCAAATTCCTGTGCTTTTGAATCCTGCAACCTAGACACGGAACAGGGAAGACAGACTCCTTCCTGTAAAGCTTCTCACCACTTCCACATACACAGCACTGTAGATAATGGATGCTGGGGGTAGCTGGCAACTCTCTGGGAATAGCGACTTGCCTAAAGATACTCCTTTCTGCCCTCCTTACACCCAGAACGCAAGTCATCCATCTAAATCCATCATCCATCTCCCTTCTGTCTCATCAGAAAATTGGTTGTGGAAATGACTCAATATCCTAATTCATTAATTCTTGTATTGCTAGTTCTAACAGTTTGAATACAGCATGGAAGGATGGAGAGGTAGAACCGTCCATATTACACACAGTAGTAGTAAGCTGGGATTTTATTTTCAACATGGAATAAACTTTCAATTAAATGTTGTTCTCCCCCACCTTTCATCCATTCTAACTTTACAGATGAAACAAAAATGACCTACACAGCTGCTGCAACTGAAGAACTTCCAGGAAATCTGGAGAACGGCACCGTCAAGGGCGAGGAGAGCTCCCCCTGCACAGACTAGTACCCTCTTTGGGGGCCTGGACTCTGGTCAGCTAGCAACTCAAAGCCAGGGCAGGAACTGTAGGGCAAGGATCAAAGCCACAGCCATCGTGCCAGCCTTGCCCCGGCCCTTGGGCCTTCTGCACCATCAAGTCGTCGCCTGGAGGACAGAGAAATCTCCCAGGTAGACGCACTAGCCCCCTGTTAAAATTTACTTGTTACTCTAAGGTCTTGCCCTGTGACTGCCAGCTCTACGAAGGGCAAACTGCCTCTTTCCCCTCCATCGCTAGACCCACACAGGCATTTGGTGTCTGAATGAAACACCCATTAATCAGATACTCAAATCTCATTCCAAGAATTGTGAACTAAAACTGAAATAAATGTTCAAAAGTACCACAGTTCTTCCACCTAGAATCCACTCCTTCCCTTTTAACATTGCCATTAAGCTTCTAAGACCTTAGCTAAGTGAGCGCAACAGCCGGTGCTATGCCGATCCGAAGCCAGGATCCAGGAACCTCTTTCAGGTCCCCCACACGGGTGCAGAGTCCCAAGGATCTGGGCCATCCTCAACTGCCTCCCCAGGCCACAAGTAGGGAACTGGATGGGAAGAGCAGCCGCCTGGACCAGAATCTGCGCCCGTATGGGATCCCAGCGCATTCAAGGCTAGGACTTTAGCCGCTAGGCCAACCCTCCGGGCCCTCACTTGGGGAATGAATCATCAGACGGAAGATCATTCTGTCTCTCCTCTTTGTGTATCTGATTATCCAATAAAAATAAAATAAATCTTAAAAAAAAAAAAGACCTTAGAATACAACAGAAGGCACAATACAAAAGCAATCTCACAAAGGCAAAACTCCAAATAGCTACTAACAGCCATGTTACAGAACAATTGTGGAGACCATAATCCTAGGAGGAGAAAACTTTAACAAGGGAGCAGTTTTACTTCACTAACAGGTCAATACTCGGTGGTAGTTTCCCAACAAACCACATCCAATAAAAAAAAAAAAAAAAAAAAAAAAAACAGGAGGCCCTGTTAACTATTGCCAAAAGGATTATTTTCCCAGTTAAAAACACTCAGCTACAAGTCTCACATTTCAAACTAAGGGCATTTCAACACTTTACTTATTGCTTGCAGGAAACAAGAAGTGACTAATGATTTTCAAAAGATTATTTTTGTTGAAAGTCAAACTTAGAGAAATAGAGATCTTCATCTGCTGGTTCACACCCCAGGTGGCCACAATGACCAGAGCTGAGCTGATCCAAACCCAGGAGTTTCTTCAGGGTCTCCCACATGCATGCAGGGTCCCAAGGCTTTGGGCCACCCTCAACTGCTTCCCCAGGCCACAGGCAGGGAGCTGGATGGGAAGTAGAGCTTCTTGGATATGAACCAGCACCCATATGGGATCCCGGTGCATGCAAGGTGAGGACTTTAGCAAATAGGTCAAGGACTTTAGCAACTAGGATACTACACCAATGATTATTAACTCTTACAAAGAGTTAACCCTAACTACTTGATTTTTTCTCCGTTATCAAGTACAAATGAATCCAACATTAACTTTAGCACATTGGGTTGATCCATGCAAGGTCTAATAAGCAGCCAGCACTGAAATCAGCACTTTGGGTCACATTCTGCTATAAACAGTTCATCCATCACCTTCACATTTATCTGTTGGAATTTTCTCAATCACCTGGCCAATGACTTGGTTACCCACAACAAAAAAAGCAAACTTAAAAAGGTAGAACTATACCTGTTTGGTGGCCTTTATACAAAAAAGCTGATGTAAGCCAGTGTGGTGGCTCACCAGGCCACTTCTCCACCTACAGGTGCCAGCATACTATATGGGTACCAGTTCTTACCCCAGCTGCTCCACTTCCCATCCAGCTCCCTGCTTATACCTTAGGAAAGCAGTAGAGGATGGCCCAAGTCCTTGGGACCCTGTACTGAAGGGTACAAGCGCCTGGCTTCAGATGGGCTAAGCTCCCACTGTTACACCCATTTGAGGAATGAACCAGCAGATGGAAGATCTGTCTCTGAAAATCTGACTTCCCAGTAAGAAATCTTACCAACAAAGCTGAGGACAAAATACACAGAAAACAAAGGTTACGCAACATGGTTTGGTCCTAAAACTTTAGAATACAATTCTTTTAAGACTTCTCAAATCTTGAATCTAAAAATTCAGGCCAATTTGTTACCTCATAGACATCTTTTTAAATTCAGTGCTTTTTTTCAGATTTATTATAATTAGAAAGCCAGAAATACAGAGAGGAGGAGAGACAAGAGGAAGATCTTTCATCTTTTGATTTACTCCCCAAGTGGTTGCAACAGCTGGAACTAAGCCAATCCAAAGCCAGGAGCCCAGAGCCTCTTCTGGGTCTCCCAAGGTGCAGGGTCCCAAGGCCTTGAGCTGCCCTCAACTTCTTTCCCAGGCCGCAAGGAGTTGGATGGAAGTGGGACTGCTGGGATATAAACCAGGCAGGGGAAAGGAGAGGATTCTTGCCACAAGGCTACAGCAGTAGGCCCTGAACTGTTCTCTTAAAACCTCTGGTACTAGGGGACAAGTGTGTGGAACGGGGAATGATTTCCAAGACAGTCACCGCTATAAAATCCAAGTATATACTATTGAGTATCACACTTGTGCAAGTTGGCTCTTCTGTCAAGATTCTCGTGAACCTTACTGGTTCACAACAAAATGCTAACTTTGCTGTAGAAAACTCCAATTCCCCTCAGGTTGATATGTACACCAACTCTTGGCCTCAATCTTTTGAAAGAGAGCCTAGTGATAAGCTAGAGGCTAGAAAAATCTCACCTTGATGCACCAAAATCCCATAAAGGTGCTGGTTCATATCCCACCTCCCTGCTTGTAGCCTGCAACAGCAATCAAAGACAGCCCAAAGCCTTGAGACCCTGCACCTGCATGGGACACCTCAAAGAAGTTCCTGGCTCCTGGCTTCGCATCAGCACAACTCCACCCGTTGGTAGTCACCTGGGGAGTGAATCATCAGATGAAGATCTGGGTCTCCTCCTCTCTGTACACCTGACTTTACAAAAAACAAATCTGGGCCCAGCGCAGTAGTATAGTGGCTCAAGTCCTCGCCTTGAATGTGCTGGGATCCCATACGGGTGCTGGTTCCACTCTTGGCAGCCCTGCTTCCCATCCATCTCCCTGCTTGTGGCCTGCAACAGCAATCAAGGACAGCCCAAAGCTTTGAGATTCTGCACCCATTTGGAAGACCTGGACGAAGTTCCTGGTTGCTCCTAGCTTCAGAAAGGTGCAGCACCGGACATGACGGTGGCTGGCGAATGAACATCCAATGATCCTCCTGTCTCTCCCCCTATTTCTGACTTTGCAACAAATAAATCTTCTTAAAAAAAACTGTATTGGGTCCAATGCGATAGAGTAATAGCCAAAGTCCTCACCTTGAATGCACTGGGATCCCATATGGGTTTCATATCCCTGAAACCCCACTTCCCATCCAGCTCCCCGCTTTGGCCTGGGAAAGCAGTACAACATGGCCCAAAGCCTTTGGATCTACACCCATGTAGGATACCCGGAAGCAGCTGCTGGCTTCTGGTTTCTGAGTGGCTCGATTCCAGCCAATGCAGTCACTTGGGCAGTGAACCATCTGATGAAAGATGTTCCCATCTGTGTATCTGTCTTCCCAATAAAAACACATCTTTAAAAAAAATATGCTTCTTTAGGCCCAATGCAATGGCCTAGCAGCTGAAGTCCTCACCTTGAATGCACCAGGATCCCATAAGGGCACCGGTTCTAATCCCAGAGGCCCTGATTCCCATCCAACTCCCTGCTTGTGGCCTGGGAAAGCAGTGGACAGCACAAAACCTTGGGACCCTGCACCTACATGGGAAACCCGGAAGAGGCTCCTGGCTTCTGGCTTGGCACAATTCCAGCTATTGGGGCCATTTGGAAAGTAAATCATTAGATGGAAAATCTTCCTCTGTCTCTCCCTCTCTGTATATCTGACTTTGCAATAAAAATAAATGAATGCTAAGACTAAAACGCTTCTTTAAAAGAAAATGTATAACCTTGAAGCTTCCCATCCAGCTCCGTTTGTGGCCTAGAAAAGCAGAACAGCCCAAAGCCTCCTAGGTCTTTACCGGCACAGCTCCATCTATTGCAGCCAACAGGAAGTGAATCAGTGGACAAAAGATCTTCCTCTCTCTCTCCTCTCTCTACATCTGCCTTTCTAACAAAAATAATTAAATCTTTAAAAAAATTAAAAGGAGGGGGAGGGCAAGCATGAGGATACACAAGAAGAAATTGTTCATCACCATTCAGTCATTATTTCTGGATAATTCAAAAAATTCTTTTGAGCATCTTTTCACTAGGATAGAAATGTCAGAAACAAAAAAGGCCCTTCCCAGTTGTATCCTTAGGATTCTCTATGTGTTGTTTTCTAAACATTCTGTACAAAATAAGGCATGGGAAGAATATATAGTGCAGAACTTCAGGAAATGACAAAAGGCAGTTTTATAATATTTTATTATCAATAACAAACAGCTGCTTCACTGTGTCTGTCCTGCAGCTGTTAGAGCATGGGTAGGACACCCTTAACCCTGACAAGGAAAACTCAAATTCAGCCTTTATGTACAAGCAAATTCAGAGCTCTTTTAAATGTCCAAAGCTGTTAGTTTAATTGAGCCATTAAGCTAATTCTGAATTAACATAGGTGAGAATAACCAGGAACTAAAATGTTCAAATTTTTTCTAGTACAAAAAATTAAATTTGCTTTAGTTATAAAAGAGCTCTGTCAATATACACAAACTATATACTTCAGACAGTCACAAAAATGTGAGCAGAAAGCTTATCAAAAGACATTTAATACAATTAGTTTTCAACAACCCCTCAGTGGTCCACATCTACAAAGATATCCAGCCCAACCCAACCCCCTCCAAAGCCCACCCCACAGAAAAGCACATACTTACCAGAATTTTTAGCAAGTATGGTTTGGGAATTTGTTTTTTTTTATAAAAGGCCCCCTGGGCAAGTTATTTACAGTTTAGTTGCCACTGTCAACTGATCTGGACCTGGACCTGGATCGAGACCGGGACCGGGACCTCTGGCGGTCCACAGATGCTGGAGACTTAGATCTACTTGAAGAACCACGTTTCTGGCTCTTCTCAGGCGCAGGAGACCTACTAACAGAACGAGACTTGCTCCGGCTCCGGCTCCGGCTCCGGCTCCTGCTTCTTGAACGGCTGTAAGACTTGCGACTGCGGGAACGGGAACGGGATCGGCTACGAGACCTAGAGGAACTCCTGGTCCGGGACCGAGACCTGCTTCTTGACCTACTATGAAGAGGAAGGAAAGAAAATCAAGAGCCACAACGTGACAAACTGTACAAATCCATTACAGGAAACTTTCGACTTAAAATCATTAAAGATACCTGTGCCTTTTGCTGCCTTCAATTAGCTTTATTTTTCTCCCATTTATTTCCTTTCCAGAAAGTTTTTCAATAGCATTCTTTAAGTCACCATAAGAGGCAAACTCAACTACCCTAAAATGAAGGGGAAAAGAGAAAAAAACCATTTTCAAAATGTATAATCCCACTGTCTTGCAAACTCTACAGCAATCTCAATGAATTGATTCTAGTTCACTATTGCTTTTCAAGCCTTATTTCTGCTGGACAGCCTTAACACTCATCAGAGTCAGGTTCCGGGACCAGGCAATTCTTTCTTGTGGGTTAATGGTTCTGCAGTGTGGGGTGTTGAACCACATGCTGGTTTCTGCTTGCTGCAAGCCAGCTTCTCCAGACACTGCCTCATGTTCTGAGTAGCAAAACTGGCCGCCCATGAAGAACCACTACATTCCAATGACAAATCTTCAGTCCTCAGAATGTTTCAAGTAAAATGCTTAGGGCATCTTAACAAGGGTTTCACCAACTCCAGCACTCACTCACCCTTCATTTAGTTTAGGTCGATGTGCATCCGCAAAGGTTACTTCCCCAGCTTGTCTCATGAAATCTTTGAGATCCTTAACACAAGATAATTGTGTTACGCGGAGCAGAGGAAAGGTGACACACAAACAACCACATGGTATAAAAACAAGACTACTGAAAGAGAAGATGTTAGATAAAGTACAAACATGGCATTTACCACACTTGTAGTCTATCAGAATTCAAAAATTATCTATGTCAGGGCACGAAATAAGCAAATAGCATATTGCTTTTAAGCAAAATGCTAAGGAAATTCATATTTTAACATTAAAGTAGTATTAGTCTATACTGAGTTCAGTACAAAGGGGAAAAAAACAAACAAAAAACAAACAAAAAAAACAAAAAGAAACAATACATTTTTAAAGACTAAAGCAGATTTATATTAAAAAAAAAAAAAAAACAGAACATTTACAAGACACCAGTTATTTTGTGCCCCAATGGATGTCATTAAAAAAGTTTACATTACCTTTATTAATATTTCCCTAGGCTAGTCAGGCAGCAAACCATTTATCGGTCGGAGAAACCTTCATGACATAGGCCCGACTGGCTCTTCGCCACCCACTCGAAGGATACTACCCACTCGATGGAAGCCTTTAATCGCACAGCCCTCCCTATCAGCGGACTATGGCGGATGCAGACATGTTCTACTCTTGAGCAGTTACCAAGGACCACTTTACTGCGATCAGGATTCCAACGAACACCTAAGTGCGTATCTTTCGACCAGGACCTCAGGACCTCTTATGCGGAAGCGTTACAGGAAGGCAGCTCTCAACTTAGGGATCAGATCACGTAACCAACGCTCTGGGATCGATCGCTGCAACCTGGCACTTCAAGCAAGTGCCCCGATTACGTCTAGACCGGCAAACACAGATCTAGAGCTGGCCAATTGATCACTGTAGGGGCTGACTGGCAAAGTCAACCAGGCCCAACCAAGAGTGACCAACACAACGATTAGGATAACCCACAGGCACTCCTCGTCAGAAGGCCAACGACACAGATAGGCTGGCAAATAAAGGGTTTAATATTTGGTTAAAATGGATGTTTAAAAAACAAGAAAAAATATCCTCAAAACATTTACATTTTATCAGTAATAATAAAATGTGAAATAGTCCCCCAATTACAATTAATTTAATTTTAAAATTACAATTTAATTAAAATAAGTTCATTTAATTAAAGATAAAGCTACTTTTAATTTTAAAATATCAATACAACATTAGCTACCCATTAACTTTAAAAAAACAAAATCCACAATAAAATAACGCAAAACTGCGTTTCAACAAACCTGCCAGCTGACTCTGGAGGATAAATTCTCAACTATAAGTCGATTTTCTGTTCTTACAGGTGGAGCATTTCTGAGGAAGAAAATGAGCATTCACAATGCAAGAAAGGGAGTGCCGGGCACATGTCTCGTGCTCAGCCCTGGACAAAACCTCGTAATGAGATGTGACAAGTCATCACGTGACCGTCAGCCACAGTTCTGTTATCGTCTGTGACTCGGTAACAGTGTGCTAACACACCAACCTAAGAGTCAACCCCAGAATCACTGCGCGGCTTATGCTTCCTCAGGCTTAAATCCTGCCCCGGCAGCCCCCCGCCCATCACCTACCGTCTATCACTGCGAGGTCTGCGACTACTGAAACGGTCAGAGTATCGTCCTCTACCCCGGCCTCCTCGAGACCGAGCCCGAGCATGCTCAATAGTCACTCTGCAGAAACACAGAAACAACCTCCTTTAGACACCTCCACTCCACAGGAGAGCTGCTGGGGAAAGTGCCCTCCCTGGGTCTACGTCACTTTGCGGAGTTAACCAGCCACAAAATGGAGATACTCACCTCTCACTGCAAAGTTCTTTCCCATCAAGTTCATATACAGCGTCATCTGCATCCCTGGGATCCTCAAATTCCTAAAACGCAAACATTGAGATGCTTAACACACGCTGGCCATGTGAATGCCACATACCGGGAAGCGAAGACACTTGCCGTTACGTGTCTACTCCCGAATAACAGGAGTCCCAATCGGTTAAGCACACCTTGGCAACAGGAGACTAGACTGTCTACCATTACTTATACCTACAATGCCATGACACACTTAGATTTGTAACTGTTGCTCAAGGACTACACTACTGTGATAATGGGGGGAAAGCAGAAAACGAGGAAAAGGAGGGGGATCCTTACATCCACAAAACCTTACCACGCAAAGCAATAATTAACAATTTAAAAAAAGTCTATGCTATAAGAGATTTCGGGCAGTAAAAACACCAGACAAGAATGGAAGCAGCACATCCTAGAGAAGTTTCCATACAGACACACCCGACCAAAGAGGGGGGCTGGCAGTGTGATCCAGTGAACGCATTCACTGGCCTACCCTCTCTGAAGACCATTAAAAAAAAAAAAAAAAAAGGATTGTACCTGGACACAATGCTGTTCATGCAAAGCTTAACCTACTCAACAACAGAGCGATGCACCTGCTTCTCAATGCTTACCACGAAACCAAACCCTCGTTTCAGATCAATATCCCTTATCCGTCCATAGCCCTTGAAGAACCTCTCCACGTCCTTCTCCCTGGCCGCTGGGTTTAGCCTCCCGATGAACACTCGACAGCCGCTCATGGCGTCGGGCTAGCGCGTCCTGTCGGAGGGGGTGGGGGTGCGGGGAGCAAACAACAACAAAAAAATTCAACCAGGGGAAGACGGTGAAGAAGGGCGCAGGGAGAGGCGACGGGGGACACCGTCCAGGACTTTTACCCCAGCCGCCGCCCGCCCAGGCCGGCCAGCGCACGACCCCCGCAGCCCGCAGCCACCGCAACGCCCACTGCCACCGCCCGCCACTGCGCAGCCGCGCGCCGCCGCCCCTCCCGTCTGCCGCAGTTCGGAAAGGCCGAGAAGCGCGGGTGGATCGCGGGTGGATCGCGGGTGGATCGCGGGTGGAGCCCGGCCCTGGGACCCCGCAGCCCTGCAGCCCCGCAGCCCCGCAGCCCCGCACGGCCGCCGCGTCAGCGCGGGGCACGGCGGCCGCAAGATGGCGGCGGGGCCCTCCAGGGCCTCCACGGCCGGCCTCCCCGGCCCTCCCGCCTCCGCGGGCTCCCGCACACGCCCCGGCTCACGGTTCCGAGGGGGCAGGCAGGGGCGCCCGCACCCCGGGGTTCACCAACGACCCACAGCCCCATCGCCCAGCTCGAGCCGACGCCGTCCTCCGCGAAGGGAGCGGCCCCGATCCCCCGCGCGCCGTGGAGAAGCCTCAAAGCGAAGCCACTCACCTACCGGACAGCAAGCTTGCGCAGCTGAGCCTCACGGAGGTCCGGAGTCTGCCGCCGAGTCGTCCAGCTGCCCACACACCCACAACTCCTCTCAGCCTCTCGACAACTGACGCACTTCGGAGCTCTGGCGTTCCACAAAATGGAGGGCGCGTCCTCGCGTCATTTCCGGACCCGCCTTCCCTGGGCCCCTGCAGGGTCACCCCGTTGGACCTGGAACCGGAAGTCTCCCTGAGTCAGGGCAGGGGTCCTTCCGTCCGCGACCCTGCGGGCGAGCCTCGGTCTGCAGGGCTGGGTGGGCCGGTGGCAGGCCGGGAGCAGCCGTTGGAGACGTTTGCATTCTGCCAGGGCGTGGAGTTCGCCTCATTGTCTTCCCTTTCGACCCGTTTCTAGATCCAGAGTTTTCTTTGGCTTACCCAGGAAGAGTAACAGAAATTCGAGCTCTGCAGTTTGGCGTAGCCCATAAGGTCGCACTCTGCGCAAGGGTGCTGGTTGCTCCTCAGGGACGAATGGTTTAGTTGTAGTGAGAAAATCAAAGGAGCAGAATCATTTTTCTTTTCTAACGGAAGGGGGTTTTTTGAATAATGATGTCTTTACATGGGCAGCAACGTGAAGAAAGCTTTTAATTGAGTTCGGAATCTAGTTTTCTGCCACTCTGCAACTGAAGCGCCTTGGAGAGCTTTCCGGCTGCTTTTCAAGCCCAGTGGCATTTGCTTAATCCTCCCTGTTGAGGTTTTTGGGATGAAACGCGAAAGCCGACAGATTTTCCGCGACACAGTTCATGTTCTGCATTTAAAGTGAGTGTACAAGATGGCACTCCACGTGTGTTAGCCCCAGCGATTTCCCAGTAAGGTTGATAGGCTTAGGTGTGAAGAAATCTTTTATTCAATCCCTTTAGGTGGAAACCAAGGCATTCCATTTTTTGAGAAAGGCATCTACTTGGGGAGTGAACCAGCAGATGGAAGATCTTTCTGTCCCTCCTTCTCTCCATCAATCTGCCTTTCCAATAAAAATAAATAAATCTTACACACACACACACACACACACACACACACAGCTAGCCCTGCCTCTCACTTTTGGGGTCCTCAGGAAATTGGGATGAGAGCATGGAGAATTTGTATGGGGCCAGCTCTTCAATTCACAGTTATATGTGGAGATTAAAGAATCTCATGGGGGATACAGCGGTGTTAGGAAGTAACATATGCTATCAGATATTAAGGATAGATTTCAAGATACATTTTTTAAAAATCCTGTTGCCATTCAACCAATATTGGCGTTTTGAAGTGTGCTTGTTACCTATGGTGCTGGTTTGCACAATACGTAGACCACCACCCCTGATGCCAGCATTGCATGTGGTTGCCAGTTCTAGTCCCAGCTGCTCCATTTCCAATCCAGCTTCATTCTGATCAGCTGAGAGAGCAGCAGATGATGGCCCAAGCTTGAGCCCCTGCCACTCAGAGAGGATGGACTTCTAGACTCTTGGCTTCCCACAGAGATATGCTGCTGTTGCAGTCATTTGTACAGCAAACCATCAAATGAAAGAATGATGTCTCTTTCCCTCCTTCTGTCCAAGTCTGGCTTTCAAATCTATAAAAACAAAAATAGGTGTGCCCTAAATTGGTTCCTTTTGGATTTGCATGGTTTCTGCATATAAAAAAGAAATTGACGTTTCAATTATTTTCTAAATTTTATAGTGGAAACCACCGGTCATCATTTGTGTTGCAACCAGTCATGTGAACAAGATTTATTGGAAAACAAGAGAGACAATGTACATCATTCAAAAAAGTTGTTACCCTCAACTTGCAGTAGTGTACTATTTTTCAGGACTAATTTTCTATAAACCCTTGTCAATAGAGTCATTTACTGTTTTGTGTTTTTTTTTTTTAAGATTTATTTTTATTGGAAAGGCAGATATACAGAGAAGAGAGAGAGAGAGGAAGATCCTCCGTCCGATGATTCACTCCCCAAGTGAGCACAACGGCCGATGCTATGCCGATCTGAAGCCAGGAGCCTCTTCCGGGTCTCCCACACGGGTGCAGGGTCCCAAAGCTTTGGGCCGTCCTCGACTGCTTTCCCGGGCCACAGGCAGGGAGCTGGAAGGGAAGCGGGGCTGCCGGGATTAGAACCGGCGCCCATATGGGATCCCAGGCATGCAAGGCGAGGACCTTAACCACTGCACCACCGTGCCGGGTCCCATTTACTGTTTAAAAAAAATATATTTTTTGGTGAGTTCCACAGAAGTAATTTCGCCATAATTGTGTTTAGTGATGCAATTTTAAAATAGTTGCCTTCTCTGATAGCTGTTGTTTCCTTCACTGCCTAATGTCTTGTCCCCAGCCTAGAGTGTTGCTTCCCGCTTTCTCCCATAAACGCAGTCATCATCACTCAGCAGAATTACTCTGCCTCTTATGTGATTCTACAATATTTATTCTCTCTCATCAATCCCTAATCTGTTTTATGTAAAAAAGTAACATTCATCTTTGCCATAAATACCAATAGTAGGGAAAAATAGATAATTTAGATTTATTTATTTTATTGGAAAGACAGATTTACAGAAAAACTCTTTTGTCAACTAATTCACTCGCCAGGTGGCCACAATGACCAGAGCTGAGCTGAATTGAAGCCGGGAGCCAGGAGCTTCTTTGGGTCTCCCACGTGGGTGCAGGGTCCCCAAAGCTTTGGACCATCCACATTGCTTTCCCAGGCCATGAGCAGAGAGCTGAATGGGAAGTGGAACAAAAAGGACACGAACTGGCACCCATGTGGGATCCCGGTGTGTGCAAGGCAAGGAGTTAGCCACTGGGCCCGAAAAAAATTTTTTTATAGATCTGGGTTTGCATAACCATTCTTTTCTCCAGGTCATTCTTTCTGACATTAAAGCTTCAGGAAAATGACTTGACCTCCTTTTCCTAAAGCATCCAAGTGAATAGCAAAACTTAAGGAAAAGAAGATACAGAGGAATCAAATTTTAAAATAAACACAAATGGACTGATCATCTCTGTCGGGGACTTTTAGCATAATTGTGATATGTTTCACTCACTAAAGTCCTGATTTCCTCTGACAAATTATGACCTACGTACCTCATCCAGCCTCTGTTAAGGGTATTTTTCTGGCCTGAGAAGGAGGAAGATCAAAAGAGGAAAAGTGCTTGGTGACACATGGAAATTATATAAAACCCAAAGAGCCGTATCCATAAATAAGGTTTTTGGTTAACAAACCCCCTCCTATTCATTTACTTATCCTCTATATATGTTGCATTATATACAAAGTGGGAGAGGGGTGGGGTTAACCTGATTGGGTCAGTCATGGGGAAGCATTTGAGACACCTTTATGAAGTTAAATTTAGAGCACCTAAGCTTTTTCTCCTTTCCATTCTTTTTTGCATTACTGAATACATAGCTTGAATATTTGTCCAGCCATTTTGTTCCCCTTAAGCCTCTAAACTCTTAGGTTAATGTTTCTAAGAGGATGGATGTTTTTAATCCAATTGTGATGCTTAGAGTTGCAACCTTTTGGGTACCCATTAGCATGGATTAGATCTTGAGGGTGGAGCCCTCATGATGTATTCCTGGTGGCTTTCTAAGGTACAAGCATCCTCACTGTTGGCATGGGAGGTCCTGCACCTCCTCTAGACTTTGCCGACAAGAATGCTAACACCAGAAATTTAACCAACAGGACTTGCCCAATCGTGGACTGCAAACCTCCAGAACCATTAGTCAGAATCCCTATTCTTTATAAATTAAGCTGCTTTAAATATTTCTGTGCCACCAGTTATGCCAATCACCAGTATAAATCCTTCCATGAAGGTATTAGCAAGTTTCTTAAGTGAGAAAATTGAGAACTAAAACTTGGAAAGACTATCTCTTTCTGCCCAAGCTATCCCCACTTTCTGATTTTCTCAAGTTCTCACTCACAGATATGCACATGGCTTTCCTGTGATGTCCACAGTGGCCTCCAGAAACCCCTAGGAGCAGGGGCTGACATTGCAGCAGAGCAGGTAAAGCCACCACCTGCAACACTGGCATCCCATGCAGGTCCTGGTTCATGCCCCTTCTGCTCCACTTTTTTTTTTTCTTAAAGAATTATTTTTATTGGAAAGACAGATTTACAGAGAGAAGGTGAGACAGAAAGATCTTCCATCCTCTGGTTCACACCCCAAGTGGCTGCAACAGCTAGACTTGTTGATCAGGAGCCGGGAGCTTCTTCAAGGTCTCCCACGTGGGTGCAGAGTCCCAAGGCTTTGGGCTATCTTCAACTGCTTTCCCAGGCCACAAGCAGGGAGCTGGCTGGGAAGAGGGGCTGTAAGGATTAGAACTAGTGCCCATGTGAGATTCCAGCATGTTCAAGGTGAGGACTTTTAGCTGCTAGACCATCACGCCGGGCCCAAGCTCTATCATCTTTCTTCTACTCTAAGCGGTGTTTCATGCTTCCAACCCAGAGCTTTCTCCACTAGATGCTTATCGCTCCAGAGCATGGTCACTCCTTACAACTCAAGCAAATTCAGACTTTCGCTGGGGTCGAGGTGGGGGGAGGTAACTTGCTGATTGTCTTGAAAACATAAGACTGTAGCACAAGCCAAAGGACATTACACGCAGAAAGAAATTCAAAAGACAGGAGAATGTCTGTGAGTGAGATGGAGTGACGTTGGTTTCAGGGCTGATTCAGACATTTTAATGATTCCACTGCTGAATCAATAGTTCCTTTTAAATACAAAAAGGCTTCTCCTTACAACTCCTTAACAGTTACTCTTTTTCAGTTCTGTGCAATGCTTCCCCACCCTGGAAACCCTGCTGCGTGACTTTCAAGTGAGTTATACAAAGAGGGGGAAAAAAAATCTCCCCTTCGCAAATGCAGAGCCAACAATTTCATCTTTGTACACACACAGTTTAGACTCACACACGAGATCCTCCCAGACAACTTTCTCACATTAGGCCTGCTCTCTGCTCCTCCCCAGCATCTTACCAGAACACTCCACTACTAAATTATGCACCACTTGGACGTGGAATGTCATAAATTTGCTGTCTGATAAATACAGCTGTGTGGGAGTAACTTTTCTGAAAGAGAGAGGCAACAACCGAAGAGCCGACTTGAGGCTCAGCCTTTGGGCTTCTGCATACTTGTAAGTAGGCAGGTATT